TCTACTACCAGTCCTTCATCACCTTACACGAAATATGGTGAATACATCTCATTACACTGAGTTACTGGTAATCTCGAAACCCTACTTTAATACGAATATAAATACATTATTCCCAACTAAGTTCTTGACAATCAGATTTGTGCTTACTGAACTGGAACTGAACAGTGTTACCTTGTGGGGATTAAAATAAGACAAGATCTACTGCAGAAACTGATCTTCATGGCATGTTAATGGTGGTGCTGATAATGTTTCAAGTAGAATTCCTCTTGTCTGATGTTAATTCCTTCATTGGATTAGTGTTGTTCCCTTTTTCACTACAGCATTGGTCCTAAATTATTCCGAATAGGACTTGGCACCTCGCGCACTCTAACTTTTCTAATGTCACCTTGATCGACGCTACGTGATTTAGTTTGTTCTCCTTATTGAATGTCGTTAGATCGGACGTGAGAAGGTCCAGCATTGGATTGGAACTACCTAGTGCAGCTAGCATTGGCGAAGCTTTCCCTCGTGCTGGGTCGAATGACAAGAGGGTTATTTACACATAAATTGATAGTCTCTTCACCTTGAAATACACTTGAAAATGGTATTGGCTAAATTTTTTATTTGGCGGATACAAGGTTGGCTTATTTGGCGTCCTATTACTGCTAACCTACCGTAACCTACTTTACATCACCTTTTAAATTCAGCTCTTTTATTAGAAGAGAGCCGAAATCTCATTTGTGTGTGAATAAGTGGATGGGCCCTATGAAGTGGCCTCGTTAAGAGAAAAAGATGCGGCACTAGAAGGTAGAACAAAAATAGAGGTGAAGAGTGATGCCACAATGGTTGAACAGAAAATTGGTCAAGGGGATTGCATTCACTTGTCACTTTGATAAGTGCTCAGGATGCCGGCGAAACGTTTGAGAATGTTCCCAGCCAATGATGCAATACTGGAAATCACGAATACTCTGACAGAGAACACGGGACTAGGCACGTTCAACAATGTCTCCCTGACGCTCCGACATAGTTGCGAAAATAAGGTCGAACGAACACTATAGAGCTAAATGAGACTGCGACCAAACAGAAGGTCACACCATCTTGGTCTTTATAGCTACGATCTAAAGTAGGTATAAAATTGGCCTTCATAGAATCTCGTATGAATTTTATTTCTAAAATCATTTACACTTAGTTCGAGGATGGTAGATGGAAGCACTCATTAATCGGTACCACCAGAAGTCTAATAATCTTTGACCTGTGCATTTTCTTGAACTCTGTCCAAGAAGGTAGGTGTCCCCTGGATTACAGGGACCTCGACCGCGATGTAAGGCAGTAATGAGGTTGAAATGATCTTCACAATTTGCTGCAATCGCATTATAAAGATGTTGAGGCTTAAGTAGGCAGATTGCACCAGCTTGGCTGCGCCTGGGATGTGGTGGCCTGGCCAAGTGAGTAAAATGGTGTACTCTGGGCTTTTCCAAATCCTCCTACAGGCCCAATTATCCATGGCATACAACATGGCCGAATTTGAATGCTATTTCCATATCAATTTGTGAAGGCATGGATCTAACGAGACTTGCCCGGAGGTCGATCAGCTCTCTTCAAGATGCTAAAGTCGGCTGTTTTCGCATCACGCTGTGGACGCGATGGTAAAAAATTCGCACAGCTGCACCGCTTCTTCATGTCATCCAATTTGTGTTGCGAACACTCCAGACAGCTCCCTCCTGAAATGAAAGGGGATCCTGTAGCTATCCAATTTGCAGGCGTTCTTCAGGTCTTCTGCTTGACTACGCCTAGACGCACATCCGGGCCGGTAGATGACCGAGTGACTGCTGGGCGTTCTGCAATCAAGCTAATTGTTTCAGAGAATTGCGGACAGCGCTCGTGTCAAATGCGGACGTCATTAAATATGCTTCAGCATTTATGCTGGCCTACGAGGTCTTCGGCACGCGAAGCAACGCACATGACCATAAGCCTACTGAAGCATGGTATACCTTTGCTTGCCTATGCTTGCTCAAGCTGTCCCGTTGTGTATGTTTGTGTTGGAGAGGTCGAATACATAAATGGATGTTCTCGTAATCAGCAGCATTTTTCCGTGATTAGCATTCTTCTGTCCTGCCTAGACGAGCAGCATCAGAACGAACGCAAAGCCATTTTTTAACAAACTTTACCAAATACTGAGTCAGTAATGGCTGTCTTCTGTCATCTTATCCACTCATTATAATCTTATTTTAGCTCTGAATTAAGCAGAAAATTTGTTCTCATCCTATCCACAATTTTGGGAAGCTCATGCGGATTTGGTTAAATGACCATTTCCTTTTCCAGACGAAATGTAGCGTGATTATGTAATTTTAATGCTTATTATCTTTGTTATAGCTGTATGGTCTACTTATGCTTTAATTGAAGTTTTATAGCACCATTTACATTCGGTATTAATCACGTACTTTCTCTCCCAGTTATTTGTCCTGATTCCTCTCTAGTTCTTTTCAACTGCCATGAGTGGTCCCTGCTTAAATTTTTTAAATTCATTCCCTCTCCCGAATTTG